GTCTTGCTCGTCCGACATTGCTGCGAGAGCTGCCATCTTTCTGTGTAGCCACCGTTAAGGCGGAAGCGGAGGAAGACGGCAAGCGTGCACACTCACCCGGGTGTACGGCGCACCACAGTCGAGAGCCAGAGAAAGGAGCGGCTGGGCTGTTCGCGAGCGTCTGGCCGTCTTTTTAAGTGGCTTCCAAAACTGCATAGGTCCTGCACAGTTCCTCCTTGTAAGGTTTCGGGAATCGGCAGGCCAAGGAGCGGATTACCCGCTGCTGGTGGCGGCAGCAAAGTGATTTTTAACCGCTGGTCGAGTCAGAGTCAGTCGAGTCACTCGCCAGGTCGGGGGTTTACGAGCCATGGGTCGCGCTCACCGATGGGCATATCGAGTTGGTCGTGCAATAGACAAGCGAGGAGTCGACAGGCCGTGCAGTAGACAAGCTAGGTGTCGACCATCCAGGCGCCTTGTCCTAGGCGCACTTCCTGAGATGAGTGACGTTAAGTGAGTGAGCCTGGCGCAGCCTTGGGCAGCCTGTTCACCCCTTGAGACCTCCTCGAGTGAAGCCGCCATCCGGTAGGGGACTGCTATGGGAAGCGGGCTGTGAAGCACACGGAGGGACGAAGTATGTATAGGAAGAGGAGGAAGGCGCGGCACCATCACTGTCGACCTGGACCTTGTGTCCCAGTCAATGCGGTGATCTCCGTGTCGCCCGTGACGCGCAGCCTCGTGTCCAATGCGCCGCCTCGTGCTCCAGGAGCAGGCCATACTATGGCCCTCAACGTTACGCTTCTTTTACATTTTCGAGTCAGGATATACATGCGGGCAGTACCGTCTACAACACGGGAGAGGGGAGGCCCCTACGTGCTCATCACCGATCGCTAGCGCTCAGCACTACATCCGCCTGCGTCTTGAGCCATCCATCCCCTCCGAACCCCACCACTCGCGGCAACGATGGAGCCTGTAGCGGCTAGGTCCCCCTCGAGGGGTATAAGGACGTAAGGAGGGATGAGGCTTCCGGGGAGTGAGCCAGGCTATGTCAGCACCGAGCAGTGCTGCTTCCAGGCGGCTTCGCCGGGCAGCATCGCTCCCCAGACGGCATCGCCGAGCGACATCGCTACCAGGCGGCATCGTCGAGCATTTCTGCTTCAAGACGGCTACGGAGAGGCGAGCGTTGAGGTAGGTGAAAAAGGTCGCATCCGTTTCTGTCTAAGTCCGCAGGATTGGAGAGGTTTCAACGAACTCGAACTTGATCACAACCCACGACCAGCTGCCGCGACCGCTGTCTGAGGGTCTTTGTTGACAGAAATTGCATCTCTCTGTCTATGCTGCATGACTTCTGATTTTTCTCAGGTAGACCCCGCTCTGGAAAGCCTTACGAGAATATTACAATCGTTTGTCGAGCTCGACAAATCCGCGCCGCTACGACCCACTCTTCGCGACGGAACGAGCCGCAATTATCGGCGAGAAGACGACTGGAGACCCCATCTCCCCCACCGCAATAATGCCGCATTGAGATGCGAAGACGATCACCGCACGTTAGAGTAATATGGGCGCGCCACCTGTGAGTGCCTGGAGTCGACGGTGAGTACGAGATCCACCGGTCAGCGTGCGCCGATGGCGCAGTGAGGTAGGCCTCTCCCCACCCCTGATCGGCGACGAACACACCGGTTGGAGCGACGAGATCCGAGTGTATGGGCTCCTGCAGTTAAGCGTCCGCAGAGACGCCTGTATGATGTTATGGTGGAGCAACCCCCGATCCTCTTCGTGGGGGACGACGGCGGTGGCGATCGGTAGGTCGTTCCCGAGCGAGTCGGTCGCCACCCTACACGTTGTACGTTGGCGACGATTACAGAGGGGGGAGCACCACTGCGCTGGGCAATTTCGTCAGTAATATCCCGCGCGCCGACGGCTGTGGAGAACCGGGTGAACGACGGCGCAGGAGTCTCGCCACACCCTGACACGTTGCGTGGTCTAGACGAGTACGGAAGGGGGTACCCAATGGCGGTGCATGGACTCGACATAAATTCCCCAGCCAGGTCTGTCCAGAGTCGCCATGTTGCCAGGGCTGAACCCGCAGGAGCGCGAGGGGAAGGCACGCGGTAAGCCGTGCAGGTCTGCACAAGCAGACTGCTGATACGCGGATATGGGCTGGTTCGTTCTGACTAGGGACACGCGTACAAGGTGCTTGCGCCGCGTCCGGCCAATTGCGCATCTTCGCGTATATCCAGGAATACTGGAACTGGGTACCAGCTCTGGTTGGTCAACCGGTGGCCGGCGTACTGAGAGGCCTGGTGGCAAACTCATGGACTCATCCCATGTCGCCGCAGCGTCGATAGCGTGGCACGGAACACGCCCGTCGGTACGTGATACTCAAGATACCCGTCCATTGAGATGGCGATATGAACTCACGACAGGCTTCTAGAAGGCAGTACATTGCAGAAATACGCGAACAGGCGGTAGCCGTGTGCATGTACGACTCCGAAATTGCGCTGCAGAAGGGAATGCGGCCCAAGAGCGACGGTATTGAAGCAAGGCACTCTATAGGCTCGGGAGCGTGGAACACTCGCGGCGGAAACCCCCAAAATCCGACGGTACTGGCTGCGAGGTTTCGCAAACCGAGGGCGTGCTTCTGGCTGGGCTTAACTTGATCCTTGCTGCACTAGGCCTGAGAAAAAAACGATGGACCGATAGCGACTCTATGAGTACAGTCCAGATGTCTCTGCCGGCTCCTGCGAGCGCCCTGGAGGCACTAGGCCGATGGGATTCGCCGTGAACACCGGCGGTGATTGGTGCAAAGCGTACGGGTCAGTCAGTATTGACCTGCACACGTAATGTTCAAGCTACTCACCAAAAGCTGAGAAAACCCGGCACCTGGCTACAGGCACAGCGCGTTCCCGCAATTGCCTGGATGTTGACCGAGCACAGCACTGTGCCAGTGCGCGGCGTGTTTCGAGGCAGCAGTTCCAGTCGTGACGCGGACCGGTCTGGAACTTCTTCACCCCGGCCTCCGTGCTGGGTCAAGCTTCCTTTTGTGCGCTAGGCTAGAGGTTCAGGATGGTCCCACCATGCTCAAGGCCGAGTATTCCGCATTGCTGCCCGGATATTTGCGAGCGATCGTGGGTCGCTACCGTGACATGGATATCGCGCGTATCACCTGCTGTATAGCCTCCAGTTCACGGGTAGTCACAAAAAATCGCCACTCGCCTGCGTGTCTACAAGCTGATTGGGTAGACCCATTCAGTCGTACGTTCAGGTGCGTGTGCACGTATTGGACAAAGCCTGGCCTGCAACGAACAGTCCAAGGCAGTGTCTACGCGCGCCACAGGCGAAGTCGGAGTTCCCAAAATAGCAAGTCGACTATCGGGCCCGCGGGTCTCAAGACCACGTGGCCGACTGTCGATCCTATTGTGGGCGATCTGTGGCTGATGTTCCCGGTGGGATGCGCTGGCGTCGGAGTCCGTGAATCGGACACGCACTACGTTGGCACCGCTATGGCACCGTCGCTCGGGACACGAAGAGGACAACAAGCCTTGGGCCGGGGAGATTGTGCGAACATCGCATCGAGCGCGCGACGAGCTGCAGCCAACTGACAGAGATTGACTGCTGCAGATCATATGCGGTCTTGCGGATGCGGTCATGAGTGATCGGGAGGAGCCTCAAGGCTGCCCGATACAAGATCTTAGGATGGAGCCACTTGAATCTCTCTAGGTCTGCGCGCCGTGCCAATGCGGCCCGACGAAGGCGTCCACCACAGTCCGTCGAACATCATGGCGTGTGCGTGAAGCCTAGGGACCCTGCCTGGACGTAACTTCGTTGCGGGGGCTGTCTGTTCATGTTCCGGGTGGTTTCATAGTTGGGTTGGTGCACAGTCACAGCAGGGCTTCTCATGAATCGTCTTTCGTACATCGGATGCAGTCAGGACTCTTCTGAGCGACAGCACCGTGCCCTGTGCGGGGCTAAGCCATACCCATCCTCGCCCGCTACGTCAGGAGACCGGGCTTCGAGATAAGTCAGCGAGGAACGTGCGGTGGCCGACAACGGTGGAAGCTCATACATGGCATATTGATAACGGGTCGCTGACGTTACGGAACTGCGCCCGGACGCGGCGCGCAGAGAGGAAGACAAAGGGCGCGACGACTCGTTTGCCTCCGCGGTGGCGCACTTGGTTACACACTGGTGATAGCGTATGCTAAGCGCGCAGGAGTCCGCACAATCCATCACCCGCAACTCCGGGACAGTGGATCAGGATCGAATGAAGGCCAGCACGTCGGAGGAGGGTCGGGATCAAAACGCGCTCGATCTTCAAATCGGCGGAGGCAGGCCACAGCGACACGTACGTGCGTGCCTTGCCCACCATCCTGTTGAGCAACGCCAATGCCGCACCCGTCCACTCCAGGCTTCTTCACGATCCCCGTTCGCACGCGAAGTCCCGCAGAAGCCGTCGCGTGATTGGCCAGCTGGCTATATCCGTTAGCCGCAGGCTGGAGGGACACACGCCATGCCGCACCCCGGAACTGCGATAGGCGATTAGCATCAAGTCGTCTGAAGACCGGCCAGGAGCCTCTCCACGCATGGCGATGCATAACACACCCGCCCATTGGCCGATGGGCTCATCCCGACATGTAGTAATGTTCGTGTAAAGCCTGTCAGCGAACCAGGAACGATAGCGCTTCCCTCGCTTCCGTTCTCTACGTATGTTCGGCTCCAAGCCTGCCGTCTACATGCAATCAAATACAACCCTCAGCGGCCCAGCGAGATTAGGGTCGTGTCGTTTCTTGGTGATCGCTTTCCACAACAGGTATGGTTCATGTTTGGCTTGAAGGCTGGTGCTACCATCATCCCTTCTAAGGGACACACACGCCGGGCCAGTGCTTCTGCTCCGGCCTCGCTTCTCAGCTCGTCCGTTCCTTCTTAAAGCTTCGCCGCGATGCGGCCCCATCTTTCATAGCCTGATCCTCCCTGTCCGCGCCACACCACAGACGGCCACAATGCAGGCGCCGCCCACCAACCCACAGATGCCCACATATGTCGGTGCCCGCGTCAGGGCGACCGAGGAGGCCCACCTCGTCTTGCATGCAGTGGCGCTGAACCGCCTGCCCATGATCCACAACCGCCTCCTGAACGTCGAACGCTGGTCGATCATGGAGGGCTCCATCTTCGTCTGGGAGGAGCGCGTTGGCTCGAGGGACGACTCGACCAGCGTGAGTGCCTGCTCTGCGTTATCTCGCGTTCACGTCCCTGCAGCTCTCTGACATCACCGCCCCCCGTTTGCTTTGTCTTCTAGTCCGCGATCTGTCGCTGGACCGACGGAAGGAGGTGGGGGCCCTCCCGGGTGAAGGACGTACGTCTTCTTTTCCGAATGGGGCTGATAGGCTCTCACCGCTAGAATAGGAGTTTTTGATCTACCACGAGAACCTGCCCGCCCTCCCTGACGGTACACCGCAGGCCGATAAAGACGAGTTGTGCGTCCCCCTTATCGTCCCGCACCCGCCCGTTACTGACAGTGCATTCGTGCTCGCCGCGCTCCTTGTAGCATTGCGTCGCGGCTCATCAAGCAGACGTATTCCGCGTGGGTCCAAGTAAATGGCCAGCGCAAAAAATGGCACCTTGGTGCGTACATCGGAATGCGGAGGCTGATGGTCTACTGAAAGCACGTCCACTCAGTCGCCTACTATACCCAGAAGACAGACAAAACGCTAACCCGGATCTTCGACATCCCCGACTTTGCGGCTCTGCGCGGGACGTTCTCCCCAGACAAGTACACGTCCGCACGCGCGCCGAAGACGCGTGGCCGCAGCAACTCCAATCAAAGCGAGGACGCCGACGACGACGACTCCGATCCGTCGAACGAAGGCCCGCCCCCGCCCGCCCCGCAGGTGCTCGTAGCAGGCCCGTCGCACGTCCGCGCGCCCAGCCCTCACATACCCCCCACTTCTCTCAACGATAGCGAGCATTTGCACCCTGGTATGATGCTAGCGACGAGCAACATGCAAAACTCTGACGCAACCCGGGCGGCGTTCCCTGCACCTGGCTCTGCAGCGGCGGCTAGCGTGGCTGCGGCGGGCCCCCCTGCCCGGCGCGAGGCGCCGCCCGAGGTGAACGGACGCGCGCCCGACGACGGCGGGGGGTGTGCGCTCGCGCCGCTCGTGTACGACCGGATGGCACCGTACCCGCCGCGCCACCCGATAGACTCCGTCGCGCTGCGGTCGCTCGACGTGCGGATGAGGATCCTGTGAGGCTAGGCCAGGGAGACGAGACGGGGAGAAGCGTGGCGCAGGGGCAAGGCCCGCTGGCGCGTTGACGTATTGACGCATAAGCTCCATCGACGGACGAGTGTTCTCGGCGACGATGAGTCACATATATTGGCTGCTGTACGTACGAAGACATACGGTACAGTCCGCGTTGTATGTACTATTCATTACTGTATCGCTGATCATGTACTACTTATTCATTGCGCACCAGCGCACCAGATATTTCGAAGGGTTATGACGCCGCTCAGCTAGATTGAATGCTCAGGGCCAACAGCTGCGTGCAGGGGTACGTATGACGACACAGACTCCCAGGCTACGCAGACAGCCAGCGAGCAGAAGGAAGCAGTGCGGCTCGGGCGGAGCGAATTGCACGCACAGACCAGGCGGGCGGTGGCCAGTAGCGGGTGATGACACGCACCATTGCCAGGGCTGCCAGATAGCGGACTGAGCACAGACGAGCGCAGACGCGCAATGATCACGGTACGTACGGCATGGGTCTCGACCACATCTCGGTACCATCACGAAGGTTCCCCCAGCTGGGCGAGCACTTGCCCGTAAATGGGCACCGGCGCGGGCGCGTCCACCCAGCCACGCGAGGGCCTTCGACACCCGGATCTTCGTCGACGCTCGTCCTGGTAGTGCGCAGAGCCTGAGACAAGCTCAGCCTCCGAGTAAAGCCCGCGCGACTGCTACTAGTAATACTAGGGCCGGCCGCAGGATGTCCAGCGCTGTCTGTCGTCAACATGACTGTACGAATGCTCAGCATCGCGTGCTGCGCAGGCTGCCCCCGTGGGTGCGCCCGCCAGAGCCACCGCCCGCACAGGCCCCACTCGCCACCCGCATTTCAACAGACGTGTCTCGTGCGCGCCGCGCTGCCCCATACGTGCAGGCGTGTGCCCGGCGCGCGGACGAGAAGGCGGGGGACGCACGCCCGGCTCCCCGCACGGCGCACCTATTCCTGACGCGCCCGAGCCGCGGGCGCAAATCTGCCTGTCAGGGCGCGAAGCTCGCCGTACGGGCTCTGGCTCTGGTTCGCGCCGGGAAGTGCCCTCTGCGCAGCGTACCCACACGCCCTTCGCGTGCACGCGAGCCAACCCAGCGCGATCGCCGGGCCTAGCCCCTGCGTGCGCGGATGCTCCCAGCCCCTGCGTAGCGTGGGCCCATCTGACCGCCGCGCTGCTGTGGTTGCACCCATGACTTGCTCTGGAAGGCCTCAATCAAGGGCAGGGTATGGGGGCCTGGACGCACCGGCTGGAAAGTCTGAATGGCGGCCAGCGGGCTGCTGACCAGCAGAGGCAGAGCGCTGCTCGCTTGAGCGAGTCTTCCTGAGAGAGCATGCCTGTTCTGTCTAGCGCAGCGCCGCGAGCGGTGTGACGGTGCCGAGCGCAGGCGATGGAATCTGAGGGGCCTTTCTGAGGGTGCGTTCTGCGCTCGGAAGAGGCGTCCTGATATCCTGCGTGGCAGCTGTCAGTGGCACGACACCCGCCCGCGACTGTGGCCACCAGCCAGCGGCCTGCCCCAGGCCTGCCCCAGATCGCAGATGCGTGGGCGCCGCTGACCAATCCGCCCAGATCGTCCGGTAGCCCGTTATCGCCATAATCGGTGCATAATCGGTGCTTCCGCCACCTCCCCTCTATCGATCGGGGTCCGCGACGCTGCACCTCCATCTGTAATTGGCGGGGGCATATATGATATATGTGCACACACTGCCAAGCCGCACTACGAGAATGAAAGGTCGTGCGCGAGGCGCATTTGTCCTGCGTCATACATGAACGGCTTCCATCACCCGAGCCAGCTGTTCTGCGTGAGGCGGCATCGAGCAGGCTATGATGCCATAGGCGCACAGGCGGGATCAGCGCGATGTGTGTGCATTGTTTCCAGACGCGGTAGCCGGTGTTCCTCATCTGCAGCGGGCATGCGCATCTGCGGAAGAGGGTGAGCATCAAGGCTCGGGGATCAGGCAACACGCGATCGCGGGCAATACCTCTGTCCCGCTACGGGGCGGTCGTTGCTGGCGGGAAAGCGCGACTCGGACGACTCGGCGACCATGTACCACCCCGGAACACGCTGCGCGGTCGCGAGGGAAGTGCATTTGGGAGTTCTTGAGAGAGACGCGGGAAGGCTCGGTAGTCAATTTGCGTGGGTCGCGACGAGTCCCGCGCGACGATCATCTTGTTCCTCCGGAGCGGAAGCAAATGCTGCGTGAATCGGAGGACGTCTCACTTTCGTATGTCGCACCGGGTTTGACTCAGGAACAGCAAAGTACGCCAAGTTAATATAGCTCGCGCGGTTGCCACTTGACCAGCGGCCTGGTCGCTGGACGGTCGGCGATAGAGCGACGTGCAACGGCGGTAGACATGGCGTCATCGCTGGCAGCTACCGAAAGGCGATTAGCGCGGCGAGCTCAGTGCTGGCAAGCGAGCGGACCGGCTGGCGGGCTGCTGCTCGGCGGCGGGGGCGTGCACGCACCACACATGGTTGAAGCGCTGGGGCGGGCCGACCCGACGGGTGCCCTCGAGGTCGGTAGCACGAGGCAGACGAGCGGTGGCGTGGACGAGGGTGTCGGCCGCGCCTGACGAAAGCGCAGTGGCCGGGGGGATGCGGGGGTGGCGCGGGGCTGCAGGTCGATCAGATCTCGATGCGCGAGAGTATCCGTTTCCCCGGGAGAATGGCAGTGGGCGATGGCCCAAGATGGATTGGCTTGCACGCGCCACTCAGACCTCGCATGCAATGATAATTACTGTAATCAATTTGCTGCAGCTCAGAAGCCCTTCCCACCTGATCCTATATAATCATTTCTCCCGATCCTCTCTCGGCCCCCCTTCCCACCCGCCTCGTCCCCGCACGCGCCCCTCCCCCTCCCCCTCCCCGCGTCGACCGCCATGGCCCAGCAGAAGCAAAAGCCCACCCTCGAGGGCGTCCACATCCGCTCCGCTGACGACGCCCACAAGGTCTTCTACGCCGTCATGCAGGACACCCTGCAGCCCATCACAAAGCGCCTCGACGCGGAGGAGCGCGCCGCCCTCAAGGCAGGCGACGTCTACGTCTGGGCCCGCCAGAGCCTCACCGGCGACGCCTACAGCCCACACATGGAGCGCTTCACCGAAGGCAAGTCCTGGACAGCCTCGCGTGTCCGAGATGTACGTCGTAACGTAACGCGGATCCCCCGCACCCACGCTGACGCGCCGTCGATAGGACTTCCTCATCTACTACGAGATCCCGGAGAAGACGAAGGGACGGGGAGGCCCCGCTCAACGAGCCGAGTATGTCCCTTCCAGCAGCCCGAACGCGTTATGCCCATACGTTTCCTAGGTCGTCGGAAAACCGCGTCGTTCGCCAGGGCGAGCACGACCAGTTCATCAAGCAGACGTACTCCGTCTATTGTAACGACCCCGCTGACGCGCAACCGTCGCCGGATGGAAAGCCAAAAGATCCAAAGAAGTGGCATCTCAGTGCGTCGTGTGCTCATCAGACGTCTTCCCCAGCGAACCCACGTTGCCCAGACGCGTACTTCACAAAACTAACGGAAGGCCAACTGAAAACGATCGACGACATCGAAGAACTGCGCGACCTCGTCGTCCCGGAGGGTATGTTCAGGAGTGCGCGGACGAGCAAGGCCGGCAAGAAGGGCGAATCCTCGCGGACGACCAGCAGCACGAAACGGCAGTACGCGCCCTTCCCCTCGCGCTCGCAACTACCGCAGCCCTCGACAAGCTCCCAGTCACAGGCGTCCACAAGCGCGCTCCCGCCGCCTCCGCCAGCGCCCGTCCAAACGATCAAACACGAGCCACAGCCCGGGCCCTCGACGTCCACGGACTACGAATACCCGCCCGACATGCAGCACTACCAGCAACAGCCGCACCAATACCCGCAACCCCAAGCATACCCGTCCGCGCAATACCCGCAGGCCGCGCAATACGAGCAGCCCGTCGGCTGGCCAGGCCCCGTCTCCGCACTCCCGCCCGCACCCTCCTCCGACCGAGCGCCGCAGTACTCAATCCCCGCCGAGCTGCAGCCTCCGGTGAGTGGCTACGCCTATGAACCCTTCAACTACCCTTATCCGCCGCCGACGCCCTAGCTGCCTGCCGTACCCTTCCCCACGCTCCCCGCACCCGGGGGCGCGCCAACGACGTTCCCGCCCAGCGACACGCTCACGATGATCCCGAACCCCGACGACGACCCCTCCGGACCAGCCCTCCCCGAAGCCATCGACGAGTACACCCCCGCGCCCATCCCGCCCGGCATGGCCTTCCTCTCCCCCAGCCACTCGCACTCGCACGCTTATGCGCACTCCGAGAACTACGTCTACTCCGCCAGCCCTCCGTCCCCCGCGCTCAGCCGCCGCAGCCACCAGTCGATGTCCCCCTCGCTCTCGGACGGCTCGAGCTCGTCCTCCTGGGGCTCGCCCTTGCAGTCGCGCTCCGTGGGCCTCGCCGCCAGCCCGTCGCCGTCCTCCAGCTACTCGCGCCAGTCTTCGCCCGTCTTCGGCGCGGACGGGTTCCCCCTCACCGACGCGGGCCTCCCGTACATGCCCGCGCCGAGCCTGGAGGACATCCTCAGCCAGCGCGCCGCGCTCGGTCCTGCGCGGGTCGACCTCGCACCGCTCAGCTCGCTCAGGAGCCATCCGTACAGACGCTGCCCCGCGGACGACCGCGCGCTGCGGCTGCTCGGGCCCGGCGCGCGGTGAGCCCCGCAAAACTAACATACGCACTCGAACTCTCATGCACTCGCACGCACATATGGTACACGGACACGGACACTCCGCGCTTTCGCACACCCACACCCTCGCATCAGACACAGAGAGAGAGCACTGAGATACACCGCACTATGTACTGCGCCCGATTTCCCCTCAGGTTCTGGGTTTGGTGCTTCGTTGTAGTCAAGCTGTATTATTATTTGTCGGTTCTTCCCGCTGCATCGCATCACCCCTCGGATACTTGTTCTTCTACCGCACACGCACGACTGTCGCACCGTATTTGTACTACCACCACACGATACGATTCGGATGGGGCCTTTGGGCGCAACTCGTAGCGTCAGGACCCGGCCGGTGCCTCGCAGCGTATCGCGGATCCTTTCTGCGTGCCAGTGTTCGGGATCGCCCCCTTCTGCACCCGATGTCGACGTGCCGGCGAGCCGTGCCGCTGCGTCGTTCTCTGCGCCCCCGGCCCCTGTACGTCTGCCACGCGCAAGTGCTCCCGACAGATGGGGGACCTTTGCTCGACGCGGCAAGTCGCGCCCTGTGTGCCTTCAGGCTTGTCGGGCTTGAGCTTCAGCGACTGGATGCGGTCTTGAAAGAATTGGTCCCGCTCTTCTCCCGCCCTGTCTGCCCACCCCCTCCCCAGGGCCCCGAGCCCGCGTGCTCGGCACCCGCTCTCCATTCGAGAAGAGAATTGAATGGTGTCTCGCCCGGCGAGCACGCCGTGACGTGCGTGCCCCGGGCGCTGCGCTGCGCGCCCTGCGTTGTACATAATGTGTATGTACGCGCTGACCGCCCGCGCTGCACGCCACCCGCCCTCCTCGCGAAGCGTCCGGATCGCGTCTTCTTAGGGCGTAGCGTAGCACGCCGCGTGGCGCTGCGTCGAGGCCGTGGGGCTTGGGGCGCGTGCCGATCGGAAAAAGCGCGGAACTGCAGACGAGCGTGTCGTGATTGGCTCCGCGCGGCCAGGGACTCGCGCTGTCGTGCCAGCGACGAGACGTGCAGATAGCGTCGCAGCGCATCGCGATTGCTCGGAGGTAAACCTTCTTGTCAGTTTTCTCGGCCTTCCGTGGTGTGGCATTTGGCGGAGTATGGTTGGGGACGTGCTTGTGCGTGAGCCGTGCGCGCTGGGCTGCGTGTGCTCAGGTGGGCCGCCGGGATCGAATCGATGAGCGGAGATAGCTCGCTGGTCTGGGCGAGGGCGAGGGCGTTCCTGAAGTTCCGGTGTGGTGGTAACCATGCTATTCACGAACTGAATAGGACATGCCGCAGAATTCATATACAGACGTGCCGATGCCGCAGAGCCTCTAGAGGGAGAAGTCAAAGGGCCACACGCGTTACGTAACCCCCCGGGCGTTTCGACCGGACCAGCTGCCTGCCTCCTGGCCTGTCGTCGCGGCCGACACATTGATCTTCACAGCCGCTGAGTTTCGAAGTGCGCAATGCGTTGCTCAGATGTTCGATCGATGGCCTGCTCCAGAGCAGCGAACGCCGATGAGTGCGGTACGACCGCGCGTGCGCAGTGGTGCGAGTGTGGTTTGGGTGATGCGGCGGCGATGGTAGCGTGTCATTCAGTCGTGGAATTCAGCACATAGTGTCGGCAGAGAAAACGCACTGCATGGAATGTCTGGGCGCTGGCTATTGCTTGCGAGCGCGACCGTGACACCAGCTGCCAGTGCGTCTCGTAGCGAGGACCCTGACTAGCCAGTGCTGAAACCCCGTGGCTGGAACCTGCACAAGTTCTATCAGTGCATCTTGGGCGGTCTTGGCCCATTTAGCGTGGACAACGGTGGGGGCAGAAACGCGGCCGTACCTGCTCGGAACATGCGTCGGTTGATAACCACCAGCGAATCGACGCTACGGGTCCAAAAAGCCCCGCAACGCTTCACAAGCATTTGTGGATTATGACCGGGCAGCGGGAAGTACGTCTGATTCGATTGGCGTTCCGTAGGCAGACGGTAATACCTTGTTTTTGATGAGCACCGGCGGCACGACCGCTGGCGGCTGGCTGGCCTCCGTGACTGCTTGTGGCAGTCACTGGCAAGGAGCCGCAAGCGCGGCGGGCGGGGTCCGGGCCGCACGTGGCGCGAAGGACGCGCTTGCCAAATGCGGGTGATGGCTTCGGGTGTGGCACCGCGTCCGCATTGTCCACGCCCCTTGTCCTCGACGGCCATCGCGAGGTCAGTCGTCGCCGAATCGACTCTGGTAATATTGCATACACATCTGTGCGAGGCACGCGCACAACCGACCCCCGCCAGTGGGAACATCCACCTCTATTCAGCCGCAGTCGTGCGCAGGCGCGCACCCCAGGTTCGTCATACCGTGCCATCAGCTCTGGGCAGTCCGCCTGATGCGCGTCGGTCTCTTGGACAAGCTAACGAGCTCCGCAGGACGCGCACATCCTCGCTAGCTCACCGCGATGTCCGATGCCTGCGGGCTGGTGCGTCTCCTGAGACCCGCGCCGCGAACGGACCACTCGAGCCTCCCGCCCGAACTCTGGCTTGAGATCTTCCGGTACGCAACATACGTCCCGCGCGTCCGAGGCCTCAGCCCCGGAGACCCGTTCGAACCACAACGCCCCTCCAACTATGCGTGGGGAGTGAACACCCTGTCTCGTCACTCGCGACAAAGCGAAACCTCGTCCTCGTCTGCCGGCCCTGGTACTGTCTCGCGACGGAGCTGCTGTACGAGCATGTCGTCATCAGCAGCCGGCGACGCGCCTTTCTGCTCCATCGGACGCTCAACCACAGCGATCGCACGGTCCGAAGACTGCGCGCGCGCGGCGAGACCTCAGAGGGACTCGCGCGATGGGTCCGACACGTTGAGATACATGACTGTGCCCGGACGTCGAAGTCGCTTCATTTCTGGTCAGCAGTCGCGGCCATCCTTTCCCTCCTTCCGAACCTACACGTGCTGAGCGGCATCTGGGAGCGACCGCTGGCCAAGAACCTTCTGGAGGTGTTCTCGCGGTACCTCACGAGCTCGATTCAGGGTTTGTATTGGGACGAAGGCCTCGTTCCAGAGGGCGAGCCCTCGCTCCTGTCGGCCGCGTTCCTGCCAAAGTACCAATCACTTCGTGTGCTGGACATCAGGAAGCTGCGACTCGAGGATCCGGATAGTTTCCCGACAGACACCACATCTACTATCTCGCTGCCCTCGGTCGTGGATCTGCTCCTCCCAACATGTCCCGCCGTGCTGGGGTTCGCGCGCAAGCTTGACCTGCCCCGTCTCAACCGGCTGGTTCTGGACGCAGCGAATCTGCGCCGGAATAGCTCCTCGTACGTCAGCTCGTCCTTGAACAAGCTTCTCGCGAGGCACGGGCCGAAGATCACCACCCTCGAGCTGCTCCCGATGACCTCCCTCTCGTACCAGGCCTCCCCGATCAGCATCACCACATTCCTCCAGCCCGACGTCTGCCCGGCGCTCGAGACGTTCGTCTTCGACTGCCGCGAGCGGCTGCTCAGCGCGTGCTCCCCGCCGCCCTCATGCCTCCCGTCCAGCCCCGCGCGCCCAGGCGTCGACACGCGCCCGCCGCCCTCCGCACCTCCGACCCCCTCCCGCAACGCGCCCGAGCCCGAGCTGCGCTCGCCGCACCGCAACCTCCGCCGCATCGGCATCCGCGGGATGGGCATCTCGCGGCTGTACCCGAACCGCCCGAGCCACGCGCAGGCGCACCTGCAGTCCTTCCTCAAGCACCGCGCGCTCTTCCCCGTGCTCGAGACGGTGCGCACGCTCGGCTTCCTCGTCGACGCGTGCACGGACCCGTTCGCGCGCGACATCTTCATCTGGTGGACGGAGAAGTTCGAGGAGCACGGGCTGGACCTGCAGGACGGCGAGGGCGTCGTGTGGCTGTACACGGACCCTGTGGACGGGAGGCAGGACGTCGTCGTGGAGGAAGAGATCGTCGCGGACGACTGCGCGAGCTTGGTGCACAAGAGCGATGCGGGGGAGGTGCAGGCGGTGAAGGCGTGAGCGGGTGCGGTGCGCGGTGATGGCGAGGGCGAGAACTTGAAGCTCCAGGTAAGTGGAAGAACCCCATCCTACGATATTGTAACCATGAATCCAGACCGCCATGTATCATTTTCACTGCATTCACGGACTACACTACGCATAGCTGCACAACCTTCCTTTGGTTCGACACACGCTATGCACTGCAATTAGCTTTCCAGGTCGCTACATTACGTTCGAGATGATAAAACATGGATGACCGTCTGAGTGGTACTATTCCGAAAGGGGAGTTGCAACACTCGGTCTCACGCCGCTGCCCGCTCATCGTTCGCCTCTGAGGAAATCACAGTCTGCTTCTGACTGCTTCGACATACTTTCACCCGAATATTACGGAAGTGGTATATCCCTTGAACACGCTCGGCTCGCAGCGCAGGCTAGCACTCTAGATCCCATCCGACATTAGAACTCGGCAATTGCTCACAGAAGATCTGATTCAACCTCCCTGTCCTTTGCTGTCCTCTCCTTGTCCGCCCGTTTGCCAGTCAGACTTGAGCGAGCAATCCTTCGGAGCGCATGTGGGTCCGCTACGCCGTGACTTCAGTGGCCAAATATGGTTGGACGCTGACCAAATCTAGCATGCCCGAGGCGATCACCGATGTGACCGCCTGCGACGGTCCGACTCGGTGCTTCTCTGAGTTATACGCTTGTTCTGCACCTCCGGACGACCTCTCGCCATTGCGATTAATATTCTTGCGGTATCCGAGGCCGTGGCAGACTTCTCTTGTGCGCAAATGCGTGCTGACATATGGGTTGTGCGGAGAGCAAGACGTCGGCGGACGGGGCTTCCGTTGATGCACTCTCCCACTCGTTCTTCTCCTGGTCCAGCTTCGCAGCGCTGGGAGCTTCTCAATAATCACGATCACGATGGGCGCGCTTCTAGGTATTGCGTTCAGGCTTCAGCTTCAGAGCTTCAAGCTCAAGTTTGAAGTTAGACGAGTGATGGGTCGCGGGCGGCGCATGGGGTCACTGTGATTCAAGTCGGAAGACATGGTATGTATGTTGGGTGGGGAAGCGGGGTGGGTAGAAAACGATCATCTGAATCGAGATCCGAAGCCCACGAAGACCAGTGGACACTGAGTCTGGAAGCCTAGGCTTGAGCGCGCGCAATGCATTGACTTTCCGAGATGCTACATGTGTCTTTCTGTACGTTGTATAATGGACAATGGGGACGCGATGGGATTCCTATGCAATGATTTTCTGACGATGGTCAATATATGAAACAGCAGATGAGGACATGCGAGCGATTACGAGGGTGGACGGATAGCGCGGATGGGGCACACAGATAGATGACCGCGAGACATGACACTTGTAGCAGGCCTCAGGGTGAGACAGGACGTGAGACGTGGTGTGGAAAGATAACCAGAGGAGGAAAGGTCCGCAGCAAAACGACATGACAGCGACGAAGGCGCAGAAGCCCTTCGGATCCACGAGGAGGGGTAGGAGCCGGGAGGTTGGCCACTACCACTCGAATTCCCTGTATACATAAGGTTTGAGATACCGATACCGACACGCGAAGCACACTCGACGTCACGTACCCTGTGCACTTCGCGAAGAGGTAGTCCTTCCCATTGATGTGGATCATCCCGTCCTTGAGGATGCACTTCCACTTGTTTTTCACACGCGCAACCTGATACGCGTCGTCAGCATACAGATCCATGCATCGGCGAGAAGATGAGATGCAAACCTTGTCATATGTGCAAAACACGATGTCTTGCTCCGCCGAGCTCGCCATCTCGTTCACTTCTTCGTTGTCAGAATCAGAGTCATCGAGATCGCTGTTGATGGCCTCGTCATTATCCGGCTGCGAAGTACTCTGGGTGGGCTGCGGAAGCGATGGATGCAGGGACCGCGGTGCGTAGCCTTGGCTTGGCGGGGGAGACGACGACTCCGACGACGATGAGGACGGACCGTCAAGCTGAGGAACCCTTGGCAGCGAAGACGGTCCATCAACCTGCGGTATGCGCGTCTGCGGAGGCTGCTGATGCTGCGCTGCGGGCGGGTACCTCGCCGTCGGGGGCGGTGGCGGGTGCGTCGGGTATGTCAGGCCGTTGGGCGGACGTGCACCCGGAATCTGCGGGCCTGGCAAGGGGGCCATCGCGTAGGGGGAATGATGAGCCATGCCCTGGCTCAGCATGTACCTCGTGTCGACGGGTTCGGCCTTGACCTGTGGACCGGCCGGTGGTGGTGGTACATGCGGGTGCTGGTAAGCACTCGGCGGGGGCGGGTAAGGGCTAGGTACACCTGGAGCATGGGGGTGCGCATGCATCGGGTGTGGAGGATAAGCTGGATGGGTTGGATGGGGATTTGCCGTAGGCGCAGGAGCAGCCTGGTTGTCGAACTCGGCGACATGTGAAGCGATGACCTTCTTCTCCCATCTCTGCACGACGCATACAGTTTGGGCAAAACATGGGGACAGAAGTTACTCGGTACTCACGTCCTGGAGATCATGGAGAACGTCTTCGGAGACGCCGTATTCGTCAAACTCGGGTTTTATGCTCGCAATCACATCGTCGATGACGGCACGGTAGATGGCGGGCTCACGAGAGGCGGACGTCACTCACACTGTATGCGACAGGAGACAACCGTGGTGAGCAGCTCACCACTATTTTATTCGACATAGCTCAACGTCAACGCGCTGCTGCTCCCGGGACCGTCGACAACAACGAGCTCGAAGGGCGGCGTGGCGTGGTGGAGGTGGGAGGTGAGGGAGGTGCATTTATACAAGGTTGCGATAGCTGGAAGGGTTCAGACTCCGCCCTAATTCAGGTCTCCTGACTAAATTCTCACGCACGGACCTCCTGTCTGCCGCTGTGGCTGCACCTTCAATGTCATACCGCCGAAGCCCTAATACGCTGTAATCAATTCATATATAAGGACTGCCGCGCGGATAATTCGCAGTACTTCGACCCATGTTCCCCCAACCCGGTGGCCCGCATGGAAAGCCATTCACAAAATCAGGCACGTTGAGCGCAGCCGTACCTGCCTTCAGCACGAATCCTTAGTGCTGACAATACTTACAGTGATTGTCCCGACTCGTCCGCTCCTGGCTATCTGAAACGCGCACGAGCATGTGTAGGGGGCTTCAGTTTCCTTCACTGCGATTCATGTTCATTTAGAGTCCACATGGTGACGAGTGGCAATGTGCCTGCTGTGATGCTCCACGGAGCAGTGGACCCAAGGTGGACTTGCTCCTCGTGAAGCGTTCATGGCCAGGGCCATTTGCCCAACTTCGTCAGACGCGCTGCTGTCGTGCAGTGGGGAACCGAGATATGTACCCACTGACGTAGCAAAGCCATATGTACATAAGTGCACCCGGTAAGTGGCCAATCGTCCCATATACTCTCCCAAGTCTTGTCCGTATACCTATCTGCAAGAACGCGCTGCTGGTACGTCCAAGGTTGCCCCGCATATTAGGTGTGGCGGAGGCACTGAGATATGCGTTTGTATCCTTCAGATATGCCTTTGTTCCACTCATCAAACCCCGAACCTCAGCCTGCCCCGGCCCCGGCCCAGACGGAGGAGCCTCAGCGTAGTCGGAGCCTTTTCTCGCGTCGCGGAAATAGTCCGGATGCTGCCCCTTCTGCGAATGGCTCCACGACCGGTACCGCTAGTACCAAGTCTAATGGTGGCTTCTTCAGCCGCCGCCGTTCGTCGTCCTCTGATGACCTGAACGATATCAAGCACGAGCCTTCCGTCGTCACAGCGCGCCAGAGAGTGGCTGACGCAGAGGCGGCTGAGCGCGAGGCCGACAGGGCTCTCATACAGGCACGCGCGGCTGTGCGCGGTGCCAGGGAGCACGTCAGATTGCTTGAACAGGAGGCTATTGAAGAGTGGGTCGCTATCCCTCTCCGCTATCCTTGCGGCCTGGCGATCAAATGATACTAATATTTCCTTTTGCAGAGCCAAACGTGCGAAGGCCAAACAGGCCGAGGCCAAATCGATTGGCAAGGGCGCGAAGGCTCTCGGCAGGCATGGCTGAGTGTCCGCAACAGTGATTGCATCTATTCATGACCATCGACGAATATATACCCACGAATTGTACTCGACTTGTTGCTCGGCTTACCGATTCGCCAACGACACACGTCTTCATGATACCGTACGCGCTACTTCACGATGGCCTATAATCTCTTTGTTTCCCTTCTCTGGCTCACCGACTTCACGTGTACTTTCAGAATATAGCTGGTTATCTCGCGCTCATGTTGTGCGCCGCGGAAGGTCAGGAACATACCGATAATGCGGTTCACATGTACGTGTAACGGATCAGTGCACACGTTGGAGCGCGTCTCAAACGTTTGTGGTCTGCCAATAACAAGTCCTTTTTCGTTATTCTCGCATACAGCAGAGTGGTCACTGCAACTTCAAGCTTCAAGCTTCAAGTCTCACTCCGATGTGGCACCTCCCCGGGTCCTTCACCCCTTCTCGCATCCCACTATCATAGTCAACGTAATCGCCTATTTCCTACCCATCACCCCCGTTTCGCTCGTTATTTGCTCCCACGGATGGCTCCTCACCGGGCTGTCCTCACTCATGATGTCTTGCTCGAAATTCGCGATCATCTCCATTTACCACCGTCGACGAGCTTTGGCGACGATCCGGTTCTGCTCAATGCCGTGCTGACGTGCAAGAGGCTCTTGAGCCCAAGGCCTGCATTGTCAATTTGATAGCGATGGATCAAGTATTACATTCCTCTCTGGCTCTCTTCTCGTCCTTCCGGGCAGTCCCCCCCCCCCCCCCCCGAACTCGAGCGGCGGGGTTTGTACTCGTATCATGCCACATCCAGGTTACACTCAAGAAGCTAGGTGAATGATAGTTTGTAGACGAAAGACAGTATATCATTGTCAGTGGCTTGGCGACGATTACTATGTATGCGACAGGGATGTACAATCACGAAAGGCTGAACAGGTACAGCTCACCCAGTTTCGTGAACACGAAACGCTTGTCATGTTCGTCACCGAACGCACCGCTGTGCTGACCCTTATCGACCGAAACCCGGATACTATGACGGGTCAGGCGCAATCGCATAGCTGGTATCTTGAAGTACTCATCCTACGCAGTGGAAAACCATAGTCATCCGTGCCTCTCGCGCTCCCGGGGACCAAGCCTTGCGATTCCATATGTTCGCTCGCTGTTCAGTACGCCCGCGATGGCGTTCATGTCCATTAGTGCGTGGGCGACCGTTCCCTCCATATGGCTCCAATATTTCTCTGGCATATTGGGGACGTACTAGTTCTGCAGACATCTGCAGACTGACAAGTGCCAGCGCTGAGTGGGTCTCCGGATCCGCGAGCGGACTTATCTTCCAGCTCATTAAGTGAACTCGACATATACATCTACGGTACTGTCGGTGGGTACAGTACGACTCAGACTCAGTCAGCGACGGAGGGTAGAGTACATCTCGGGCTCGGCCCGGGCATCTCGCGTAGCGTGGATAGGCGCCCGAGTAAGATCTACGTAGCCACAGTGAAGTTCTTCTCTCCAATCCGTCTGGCATCCCGATGTTGGACCCGTCGCTCCTTGCTATGTTTGCACCGCTGCCTCCTAACCACCAGTCGGTGTCGATCTCGAGCATCTCCACAAAGAATACGGATCCCTTATGGGAAACTCTCAGTACCTCTGATACGATGCTCAGCACCGCCGACAGTGCTACAGATTCAATGGCATCGGAGGAGTGGGACAGGATCCTCATGCGACCACGCCGTTCTTTGACCCGCGACATCCGATCGTGGTACGTGGAGACTCGAGAGAGAGCGCTGGCAATGCCTGCGAGAACAAACCCCATTACGGCGGACCATTATCAGGTAAGTCGACGTCGACGGTTGCAGCCGTAATGGAATGTGTACTCACACATCATGCTTCTTATACCAGTCTTCGCCCATTAGCCGTCTTCCGTACCAGGGGTACGACGAGCGATACGAAAGCATGCATGTCGCGGGCTTCCCTTTGCCAGAGTATGCACCTGCCAGTGCTAGTCCAAACGACGCTGCATCCACCGGTAGCTCGCTGGGGAGCGAAGCGATGGACCACGCTATAAACCACGCGCTGCTGGCCGTAGGGGGTTCTGTGTCTCACGCGGACTACGTCGAGAACTGGAGGCAGGAGACACAGAGGTGGGCATTCCGGTGGGAGGACTTTACGGAACCGGATGAGCCCGACGAGATGGACTCGCCTGCGGTGGTCGCCACCCCGCTCGACGTCCAAATGGCAATCCCCCAAGACACTCCAGGTCTGCCCTTGGAGGGGAACGCGGCGGTCGACGTGGGGCCGGATTTGCCAACATTGGCTGGAACTCTCGAGCTCTGCGGATTGGAGGACGAGACCAGTCGTTCGATGATGAACGAGATCATGGACACCGCGATGGCTGAGTGGTCGACGAACAACCTCGACGCGGTCATCCTCGATCGCGAGCGAGACTAGTGGATATTAGTATGGAGGGGATCTGAGGTGGAAACGGAGACAAGCGTACGTGCGGTGGATTGATGGGCTGTCCCTGAATGGTTCGTTGGTCGCGAAGGTTGTGTTGCAGGTCTATTTGCATTAGTCTGAATGGCGTGTGGCTGTAAAGTATCCGATAAAAGTTCAATGTGAACGAAGAACGAGACCGTTGTTAGTTTTGTATGTGGAGCTCTGGTGAATGCAGCGGCAGGTTGCCGACCAACATGAGTGCCTTTTCATAAGTGTAAATTTGACATCACGCACCTTTACTCTGTCCATCGTCACCGTACCGTCGTCGTTAGCATGTCTTCGCTCGCCACACAAACCTTTCTACCCGTTGGACCGAAGGAAGACGCTGCGAGTATACTTCTAGCACCGAAGATGTCAGGGATGTCTCTTGATAGCAAAGATGGAAGCCCAAGCTCATGGTCAGACTACCAGAGCAAACAAATCGACGCCGACGCGGATGAACAGTCTGTGAGTTAAACCTCTGTCTTCCATGCTGAATCGGCCACTCACCTCTTCCGGAATCTCGACGTTGCGAAGCGGAACAGCGCTGCCTTCAATGTGCCGTGGCTTAGCGTATCTTGTAGCTGTCTTGGATCATTGGGCCTCTCCTTAGGGTCCCGCGACATCAGTATCGCATCCGACGTTCACCTCACATACAGCCTCGTCTGCGAGTCGTCTCTTTCAAGGAACATTGAGGGTATTCTTCCCGAATTACAGAGATTTATCTGCACAAGCCGTTAGGAGTTACCCCGCCGGAGAGTCTGGGGCAAATGCTCTGGCTATAGTGTTTCCTCGCCCCCTTCCATTTCACAGAGGTTTGTGTCGGATATTGTATATGTGTATGCCTCCGTATATTTTTGCTCTTGCCTTCCAAAGCAACTGCTGTATTCCCAGCAAAGCTTGGTCAAAAGTCAATCAATGTCTCGCGGCGACGAATGCAGAGACTGGTGCTATATTGCTTGGCTAAGTTAGCACTTGATATGCATAGCTGAAACGCTGTCGCCACGCACCTGTCTATTCTATGACCTGCAGCACGCCCTCGCAAGTACCCGCTTCAATGCGTCGTACACATCGGTCATGCGTAATTATGTATTCATGAGAGAAGCTTTATCGTTGGCTTTTTCTGTCGCGACCAGCCAGAGAGCGGACATGTACTCGTTCAGTGGTACACATGATATATATCGCCAAGCTCGGTTTGTTCGAGATGATGTTTGCGCCGTGTAAGCGTCTTGCATTTGGTAAACAATATATCAGACCACAATCATTGCGCTTTCGACATCGAGGACGCCAGCTACAAGCTGCCACAGTACGAGTCCTACGATTTGCAGTAATGAGCGCCAATCTATACGAGCCGTAATGGCACCACATACCTGCTAATCCTACTCTCATCCGACACTACATTCCTCACAAATACCTGCAGATTACCGTCAGAGCCACTCAAATACGGTACAATCTTGTCCTGACATACCACTGGCCTCCTCTGCTCTTATCGGCATGTCCGACATCGACGTCTGCGTACTGCCGCCCGCCCACGGATGCGAGTATTCTCTCTGCTTGCTGAGATATGTCCGTATGTTCCTTCTTTAACAGTGAACTTACCGAAATGCGACACAGCGTCGATCGACAGGCGGCCGAAATTCAGTGCCGCATACCATGGAGGCCACGGACATACGATGCGAGAGGTGTGCATGTCGGATGAGGTCGCTTGAGCGGCACATGCCAAGATTGCTCTGCACATCGCAGATGCAGCATGATGGACGAGCCATGCCTCGTATGCCACCACTTGACGGAACGGAAGTCCGACCCCAAATCGAGTGAACACCACAGCAGCGAAATTCTATAGGCCGATCTGGTCCTGAAAAGCCGAGCGCAACTTGCATAGGGGGTGAAATGAATCCTGTAAAGGGGACAGCAGCAGAAAATACACGCAACGAACCACGAAGTTGGCAATGGTCGCTCACGTCACGATCGTTCGGTCATCGCCAAACTCCTCCCATCCCCACGGACTCAAGTGTCCACCCAGAATCGAGAAGCCGGGTGACAGTCGCATTGTACGAGCATAGCGAGACAGATGTTCAGTGGATTGTCTTGGGATCGGCGGTTACGAGGCGCTCTGAGTAAGCGGCAGGAGTGCCAGAGGATAATAAAATTGCACGTTGGCCCTGCAGACAGAGACACCTCACAGGCAAATGAATGCGCAGCTAGCAAACATGAGCTTACTTGCCAGGCGGATTGGTGCACAATCTTCGAGCCATTTTGTTCGCTTCCGAGTCACCCACTGAAAGGCTGCCTGGCGCGACAAACAGGTTCCATGTTCGTGAAAACGGTTTTGACCTCCAGCTAGCAGCACTGCCCGAGGCAAGAGGGGAAGCCAAGTTCACAGTAAGGTGTTTGGTCGTGAATATCGAGGCAAGGCAAGTTGCAGACATGGTAGTCAAGAGGGCGGCAGCCACGTCGGGACAGTCCGATTCGGATATCGCGCCACAATCGGGCGCTGCGGACGAAAAGGGTATGTACGCCGCAGTACGCGCACGGCACACTCTAACCCACTCACCGGAGGTTCGCGTCGACGTCGTCTTGTGGGCTCTCGTTTCGATAGGCTCCAGGTGCTAAGTATGTGATTGGTATTGCACAGCACAAATTCTGTCCAAGTATCCTACTCGTGGATGCGCAACACCCCGAGTCACTTGTGCGGCTCGGCGACGATGATCTTCTGCGTGCGACAGGACCGACGGCATACAGTATACTGTAAAAAAATGGATGATCATGGCTCTGACCACAGAGTCAGTAACTGTTTGAATGCTGTCGGTTGTAAACCTACGCCACGACGATGGTCGAGGAGTGGCCCCGCCAGTGGTCGGCTAAGGGCTTAGACTATAGCTAGCTACGACGGTGGCTTGCTGAGGCTCAGCCTACAGCGTGACCAGCGACAAGCCTGATGGAGCAATCGTCCATGGGGTAGAATTCCGGATCTGTTCGCGCGAGCAGTGCGCGAGCTGCATCCAAGTATCGGACTGACCGCAAGGTAGTTGCGAGTTTCCTCACTAGGATGCAGGCCAAACAACGCGTACATAACGCGTCGTTGCGCAGCCACCGCCGATCGACGCGCCTCGAAGGCCAGTCGCGACGGAGGGTGTGCTCTGTGACGCGAGAGATGCCACACAGACCGTATTTACCATACTGATATGACTCACTGAGTCGTGGCACGATTGAACAGTACATGCCATTCCACTGGGAGGAGGTACTTGCCCGAGTTCACAGCCAACTTGAATTCGCCAAATAGCGCCGGGTCAACCTCGTTGACGCACTAGGGGTATGGTTCGACATTTGAGAATACTTTGCGCTGAGCGGCAGTACATACAAGAAGATACGACGTAGCGTGGACGTGAAGGTCATGGAGTTAGAGTAGTGGTAGAGACTGGTAGAGTACGAGTCGCCCGGCATTATCCGAGTGGCAGCATAGCCGCCCAAACACGAAGAGCCACTGCCGTGGCCAGAGTCGCCTTTCTCTTCTATCTTCACACATCAACTCGACCGACATCTCCTCTCCCGTCGCCTACCCTCAAATTTTCAGCGCCTTCGCCTCGTACAGGAGCCATACACATTACACTTCACACCTCACGTCGAGCAACATGGAATCTACCCTACCCTACATATCGATAGCACCCAACACCACCTCCCCATCAGCCGACCTCGATCCTTATGATGCCATGATATTGGAGTATATCGACGAAGAGCACATCATTGCTCTCAGTCTCCTGCCACACTTATTCCCAAGGGCGACGGCCCAACCTACCGCCCAGCAAGACTCGTCAAGGGACTCACCCGCAAGCTCCTGGAACACAACACCAAATACGACAAGCAATGCCGATGCCCACATCGTAAGCCATATGGTCATTCCCGATCGTAATTGATTCTGTGCTCACCATTATTGTCTATCGTACCTGACACTCAGGCCGATGTGCCTGTGGCGGAGAGCTTGAACGCCGCTACGGCGTCGGTATACCCACATGCCACTTCAGACAACGGGGGGCGGAGCATCGTGTATACCGAGTACCGCCCCGTCAGCGACAATACCTTCGACCACACCACTACACACCCGGCTATACCTCTCGCTCAACTCGATCACTTCGAGGAGTGGAGGGCCTACATGGACAGCCTCGGACAATTCCGTGCTGCCTCATCGGATAGTTGGATCAACATAGACGCGAACGGCAGCGGTTTCGTCGCACCTCTGATGGCGGCCGGGTTGGGCGAAACCGTTTAGGGTCTTCTTGAGTCGAGTGGAGGCAATGAATGCCTAAGGTTGGATTGACGGGGTTGAATGAGGACTGAATGACGGTCACGACGTGGTTGATAACATGTAGCATTTGTGGCAGAGCCTGAGCCGTCGGTTTGACATATACATTGACCTTGGGTGAAGAGCACGACACCATCAATGAAGCCTTTGTAATGTCTGAGCAGGTTACTCACCTGGTTATCAGCCAAGGCGACGAGCAGTACGAGCAGTCTGGACGCTGCCGCAGCCTCGAGGCAGATTATCTTATTTGAGACCAATCGAACTCAGCGGCATTTCGCAGGTGGTGTTAGGCGCCCGAACACAAAGGAGTAGCCACAGTCGTCGTCGTCTTCTGTCTTCAACGCGCATCCCCGTCGTCCCGTCGTCTGCGTCGTACAGCCCACGAGTACCCCGAGTCCTGCGTTCATACTATCAGTATACAACACTCCACGATGATGGATCCCCGGTGCGAAACTGCACGCCCTCTTCACGCCACTATGTTACCGGACGCCACCCAGAACATGGGCGTCCCGTATTCCGACGCGATTCTGGGCGAGAACGTCGAAGAGGCGCATACCTTCAACCATTCTCATGACCTACGCCTATGTTCCCTTGACCCACCATCTCGCGAAGGCCTGGTTTCGCATCCGCCAGGCCTACCTGCACGTCCCCCCGGCCTACCCGCTCGTTCGCCAGGCGTACCACTGCGCCCCCCTGGCTTACCCTCTCCTCGTGCAGCCCGACCTGCTTACCTTTCGGGCCTGCCGACACGTCCCCGAGGCATACCGACTCGGCCACCAGGCCTGCCTGCACCTGCTCGACCCCCGGGCTTGCCTGCGCCTGCTCGACCGCCGGGCCTACCCTCCCCTCGACGAGGCTTCCCTGCCTACCCTTTCGGCATATCTTGGCCCCATGCGGAGGCACACCGCATTGTGAATCAACCCTCTAGGACCTCAGATGCGAGCTCCTGGAGTCCAGAAGCATTTACGACAGCCGAGAGCCACGATGCCGACAAGGAAGTAAGTCGTTGGCGACGGAATCGTAAATGAATCTGCACTCACGCGCACTGTGCTACAGAATGTTCCTCCTCCTGTCGGTGGGCAGTACACGTTTGGAAGAACGAACGCGGCCCGACACCTACCTGCCCAACCGGCTTTCCAGTCCGGCGCGATCTTGAATCCGGTGTGGACCCACACAGCCCGCGTTGGATTGGGCGATGCAGCCCGCCCCGACACCCGCCCTCTCGAGCCGGTCGGGCAATATCCCGCCGAAGACCCAGCGTGGGCGGGAGGCCTGACAAGATCGGGACGTCCCATGGCTCCGCGTAGCGCCCAGCCCATGTCATCGCACTACGACGCCGCCATCGGCACCTACCAACATTCCCACCTCGAGGCTATGACGTGGACCGACGGCTTCCTTACGAGACATTGGATACGGGAGGAGGCATTCAGAATACAGGAAGAGCGATGGGTGGCGGCCGAGAACGCCAGGGTCCCGCCCCCCATGGAGCCCGTGCTACTCAAAGAGCACTGGCCCTGTGCTACGGCGGGGTTGCTGCTCTTGCCTGCGGAGCACGACGATTCCGGAAGCGACTCCGGCTACTCGTCTTCCGGCGACCTGTCTGCCCTCGACGACATCATGCCAGGGCTGGCTGGATTGGGCGAGCTGGTTGGTTTGGACGATGATGCTTCGAAGGCGTTGTCCAACGACGGCTATGTAGCATGCGGGGAGATCGTCGAGGAGTAGAAGGGGAGGATCGATTCCGATGCGACGTCGCGAAGATCTGACAAGGCGCTGCATCAGCAGTTCGTTCGTGTCGGATACAAAGTTCTGGTTTGCGTCTTTGTTACCTGTATAGTATCTGAAGTGGTGTATCTATCAGCAACGCTGTTCTCTGTCCCTCGATGTTCTAGGAGTACGATTTATTGGATACGGCATCATCCTTGCCTGGTGTTCACGTGAGTACAGTGCGCAAGCTCGAGACCTACGTCACGCACCTTCATCTTCTCTTCTCTACCTTCATCAACGTCGAGAGTATCCTGCATTCACTGCCTTGCAGTCTTTACAGTACGCTACGCGTAAAATAGTCTTACTGATCATGTTCCTTGGCACAGATCACGATCTCGCACCACACTAGGTCGTTGTCCCGGTGCGCTGTTGACGATTCCGTGTCCAACTGCCGCGAAACGGAGGATACTTCTCGGTTCGACTGTCGACGAGGTCCCTCGATGGCATTACCCAGTATGCGGAATGCTAGGCAGCAGATAGCTGTCAAGACGGAGAATCCGGTGAGCAAAAGGAACGTACTGCCGTATCGAAATCCGTGCTTACCCATGCCTCGTGCACTGGACGCGGCTTCTGGCGCGAGACCCCACAGTCATACCAGGTATGTCCCAGCTCTTCTTGTGGCCCATCAGTGGCATATTCGTGGGGAAAATACATCTTGAACATGACGAGTGCGACACCTAGACCGGCGATGAAGGACTGGACAGCGTCTTTCCCGGACTGCAGAGCATGTCTAGCGAGCCGTATGAGGGTGGACAGGGGTACGGTCCCGGTCCGGACGAGCATTCGACATTGTGGACTTGGAGACGACAGGCGATGGTTCACGGCAATCGCAGGCAGCGAGACCTATAGAGTGTTCTCGTAGTAGCCAACATCGCTCTGTGCGCCTTCGCTTTATATGCCCACGGTTCCTGTACGGCTTTGACCCCCAACTACGCCAAGTTATCTATTCGTTCGTTTGCCACGACCGCGTAAGCGCCCAATATACAAGATAGACACCAACTTTGAACTCAACTTGTGCGTCCTTGTTCTAGCCCCCCATGACCGCGTTGTCTCATGAGTGGGGTATCCGCTGATGCTCTGAACAGTGAACACCTTGATATCCAATGGTTAGTCTACGCGGCGTGTCTGTACTTGTTCTCACTTACCACATGCGACGTGAACGCGAACGCGGTTTTCCAAGATGTGGCGTACTCAGCTACCCATCATCTGCCCCTCAGCTGCTACTCCGAGAGGCACTGATTAACACGCAGGCGGCAGACAGACACTCGGAGAGGCGAGCAGGGTTGAGCGCGTCGCTGCTGAAGACAACGCCACTCCTACTCATACGGCCGCGGTGCGTACCCTGTGCGTCTCGAGCTACGACAAGACGTACATTCCGCGACTCCATTTGAAGCTGTAAGAGTTGAGACGTCGTTGTCGATCGTCTTCGCGGCATTCAGATCGATGCACCTTGACGTCGACATGGCCAACAGTTCCACCATTTCCGATCCAGTCTAGAGATGACTTGCATTCACGGCGCATAGAGGCATGTGGTCTGCGACAGTCGCTTGGTGAGTGACGGCGTACCATCGAGATTGCTGTTGTGCTCACCTGAGGCGCCTTCCGTGATCAGTGAGTCTAGTGCGTGGCCATCTCTTCCACTGCGAGTTGACGATACAACACGAACTAAGCGGCATCCTCGAGCGCCGCCCTACACGATACGCTGGCCTGGATGTGCGCACTCGGTGTAGTTGGTGCCCAAGACACGTCTACATGCTAAGTTCACTGTCTTCGGCATCAGGAATATGCATCGCGAACGTTTTCGGGAGTCTCTTCCAAAAGAGCCTGCCAAACCTGGCGAACGTTGAGTATATGAAACTGTATACAGCAAGGTTACTCACGACATGCGTAGTCCACTGCGCAACGAAACTTTGGGTCACTTCGGACAATTGATGTGTACCCTCCGTTGCGGCTTGTATCCTAGTCCACAACGCCACCCCATCGGAACCTCCGATCATCTGTTATATCGCAGCGGCTGGCATGTCCGGATTGGTCCTCCGCGACAGAGACAGGCGATGTCCCCTGCGAGAATGCGACCGATTTGGCTGCTCTATGTCAACGACCCTGACAGCTCAGAAGAAAAGCCGAGGTATCTCGCCCTGTCCCGGGCGCTGCGTCGTACGAAGACTTCGTCTGACGTGACAAGGCAGGCATAGAGAGTACGGATACAAGTTTCGCGCACCGGCATACGGTGACTCGCTCTCGACGTGAGACAGCCTTGACGACTTCCGGCGGGACATCAAGCTAGATGATGCAACAATCAGATGAAGGCATCCGACAGATGGCGTTTCCCTGCGGCCTTGCGACCAGACCGGTTGTGCAACCTGTGGACAGACCGACTACATATCGAGCATGGCCCCACGTACAGGCACCGCGCGATTGTTGCCTGGTGGCACGTCAGAAGTTGGTGTGCAAGGAATGGATGGAAGGGAAAGGATGGGTTCCATGCGGTTGCCGTCGTGCTGAGCGTGGTTCACGAGCCATGACTGACGGTGCGATCTATATATCTTGAGTTTGCTTTTTCTGTCTAGGCAATTGAACTGACTCACCTGTGTCCAAGGAGGGAGGATTGGACATGAAGATGTATTGGCGACTCATCGCGGGCTGATCAATCGACCGCAGACTACATGCAACGACGGGTCCGGACGTACTGCGCAGAAAAGAGCAGCGAACTAGAGAGCAATGTAGAATCCTCAAGAACTTGAAAAAGTGACTTGCAGGGTGCGCACGGGGGTATCATTGGACGGCCGATATGAACGAGGGCAAGGTGGTTACCGACTCGAACGAGGTGTCGCTGAATACCGATTGACGACGTGTATCGAGTCTATTGACGCGCCTACTTACTATCATCACACTGAGCTTGTATTCGAGTTTGTTACTTTGTAGCGTTCAACATTTCATTCAAACGCCACTTGTGGCTGAAGCTGAAGCGCCACCCTTCAAGTACTTCAAAGTTCGCCATGGGCAACCTCCGTGGTTTGCATACTACACTGCTGATCTCGCAACGCGCGAGCAAGGATGATGTCGCCATCGATGGCGGCACTTCGAGTCTGAACACTGTCAGTCCGAAACTTAGTAGGACCACAACTTATATGATGGTCGTGAAGTACTATCAAAGCGGCTGGCTCTAAATCACTGATAGCGGTTGGCCGAGGCTCAGCATGAGGGTTGCGGCACAATGTATATGGCGTGAAATGCCAGATTTTTTTCACGCACTGCCGCGTTTGAGTAGGTTTGAGTGTGGAAAGGCGTTGCAAGTTGCCTCACTAGGACGGCAGGCCAAACAACGCGTACATAACGCGTCGTCGCGCAGCCACCGCCGATCGAAGCGCCTCGAAGGCGAGTTGCGATGGAAGGTATACATGCTGTGCGGTACGAGAGATGTCACACAGACCACGCAGTACATACCGTTCTGACTCACCGACTCATGGACACGATTGAACATACTTACCTGAGTTCAGAGCCAGCTTGAGTTGCCAAACGGCACCGGGTCAACCTCGTTGATGCACTGGAAGTATGGTTCGAGATTTGGAGATCACTTTGCGCTGGGCGGCTGTGCAAGAAGATACGCGCAGCGTAATCGTGAAGGTCATGGAGTCAGAGTAGTGGTAGAGAGTGGTAGAGTACGAGTCGCCCGGCATCATCCGAGTGGCAGCATAGCCGCCCAAACACGAAGAGCCACTGCCGTGGCCAGAGTCGCCTTTCTCTTCTGTCTTTACACATCAACTCGACCGACATCTCCTCTCCCGTCCGTCAACTCTACAATCATCAGCGCATTCGCCTCGTACGCGAGCCATACACACCACACTTCACACCTCGCATCCACCCACATCATGGAATCTACCCCACCCTACATGTCGACAGTACCCTCCCCATCAGCCGACCTCGATCCTTATGATGCCATGATATTGGAGTATATCGACGAAGAGCACATCATTGCTCTCGATCTCCTACCACACCTATTCCCAAGGACGAGTGCCCAGCCCACCGTCCAGCAAGACTCGTCCAGCAACCCACCCGTAAGCTCCTGGAGCACAGAATTAATTACGACAAGCAATGTCAATGCCCAGACCGTAAGCCATATTGTCAATCCCGATCGTAATTGATTCTGTGCTCACCATTGTTATCTATCGTACACTCAGGCCAATGTGGCTATAACAGACGGCTTGAACGCCGCTACGACGTCGGCATACCCGTTTGCCGTTCCCGACAATGAGGGGCAGAGCATCGTGGCCACCATGAATGCTCCCGTTGGTGGCAATACCATCAACGACGCCGCTGTACACGCGACGACGCCTCTCGCGATACTGGACCACTTCGAGGAGTGGAGGGCTTACATGAACAGCCTTGGACAATCCCGTGCTGCCTCGTCAGACAGTGGCACATGGATCAACATAGATGCGAGCGACATCGATCTTGTCACACCTCTGATGGCGGCCGGGTTGGAGGAAAGTGGTTGAGGTCTTTGTGGGTCGAGTGGAAGCAGTGAATGCCTGAGGTGGATTAACGGCGTTGACATGAGAACTTGTACGATGGTCGCGACGTGGCTGGAGACATGTAGTATTTATCGCAGAGCCGTCGAATTGACATACACATTGACTTTGGGTAAAGAGCGACACCGTCAATGAAGCCTTTTTCATAGCTAGGCATGTTGCTCACCTGTAATTCGGCCGCAGAGACGAGCACCCTATGTGGACGCCGCCACAGCCTCGAGGCAGATTATCTTATAAAAGATATGAGACCAACCGAACTCAACGGCATTTCGCAGGTGGTGTTAGGCGCCCGAACATAAAGGAGTAGCCACAGTCGTCGTGGTCTTCTGTCTTCATGCGCATCCCCGTCGTCTCCCCTTTCGCACCGTACCGCGTACGAGTTCCCCCGACTTCTGCCTTCATATCGTCAGTATACAGCAGCTCGCAACGATGGATTCCGAATCCGAATCCGATATTGCTTACCCTCCCCACGCTGCTTTCTTGCGGGACGCCACTCAGAACATGGGCATCCAGTGTTACAACGCAATGTCGGGCGAGGACGTCGAACGGGCGCAGTCACCGCCTCACATCGATGACTTACCCGAACTAGTACGTTCACCTTCGCCTCGCCGAGGGCGGCCAGCTCTCCGCGCAGGTCTGCCGACTAGTCACCCAGGCGTACTGTCCCGCCTCCCGAGCATGTTGCCTCCACCCCGAGCGCACCGTCCCTATACTCGGGCGAACCACTGCGTCTATACCCGTCAGTGGGCCCCCCTCCACGTCACCGGGACATGTCGCCTCCACGCCCGGGCGCATCGTCTCTGCTACACCCACCTCGCGCTCTACCCGCGAGGCCCCCTCTCTACGCTTGGTGCACCTCCCCGTCACACAGGTGTGTTGCCTCCACGCCCGGGTGCACCGTCTCTACGCCAAGGGACAGCCATCCCGATGTACCGTCTGGTGCCTCGACTGCGGGCTCTTCGAGTACATACCATTAACGACAGCAGACAGCCACGACAGAGAGGTAAGTCATGGCGATCAGAATCGTGAATGGATGTGCACTCACAGCTCTGTGCCACAGAATGTTCCTCCTCCCTGTCGGCAGGCAGCACCTGGTCGATAGCAGGCAGCACCTGGTCGAGAGTAGGCAGCGCCTCATCGAGAGTAGGCAACGCCTGGTCGCCGCCCAGTACCAACCGGCCTTCCACCCGGGAACCATCTTGAATCCAGTGTGGATCAGCACGCCCGCGTTGGATTGGGCATAGGAGCCCGCGCCGACACCCGCCCTCTCGAGCCGTTCAGGCAGAATCCCACCGAAGACCCAGCATGGGCGGGAGCGTGGGCGTGGGGCATCAGTCGACTGACCAGATGGGGACGCCCATGGCTCCGCGTAGCGATCGGCCAGTGTCGCCGCACTACGACGATGGTCAATCCGACGACTACGACTGGGGTGCCGCCATCGGCACCTACGCACCTCGACCTCGAGCAGGACGACGTCATGCCAGGGCTTGTTGGTTGGGCGGGCTGGTTGGTTTGGACGATGTGCTTCGGAGGTGTCGTCCAACGACGGGCATGTGGAACCGAGGAGATCGTCGAGGAGTAGAAGGGGAGGGTGAATTCCGGTGTGACGTCGCGAAGATCTGACAAGACGCTGCATCAGCAGTTCGTTCGTGTCGGATACAATGTTCTGTTTAGTGTTTCTTACCTGTATAGGATCTGATATGGTGTATCTATCAGCAATGCTGTTCTGTGCTCTTCGACATTCCGACGTGTACATTCGTCGGATACGGCGATATCCTCGCCTGATGTTCACGTGAGTACAGTGTGCATGTTCGGGATCCACATCACGCACCTCCATCCTCTCTACCTTCGTCAACGCCAGGAGTATCGTTGACTGCCTCGCAGAACATACTCGGTACGTTACGCGGAGGATGGTCCTATTCATGGTGGTCTTCGGGACACATCACTATCTTGTGTACTTGAGGCTGTTGTCCCGGCTTCCCGCTGACGTCTCCACGTTTGACCGCCGCGAAACGGAGGATACTCCACGCGCCGCGAGTATCGACAAGGTCCCTCGACGACATCAGCAAGCACGCCTAATGCTGCCCGGCAGACTTCGAATATACAGCTTCGAAATGAAGAATACGGTGAGCGAAAGGACTGTGTACGTTCGTATCGAAATCTGGGCTTACCTGTGCTTCAATGTGCTGGAAGTTGTCCCTTAGCATGAGACGCCCTACTGATAGCTAGGCATGTCCGATCTCTTGTTGTAGCGCACTAGTACGATGTTGGCGGGGTCATCTCTCCTAAATGCGACGAGAAAGAATCCAAGTCTGGCCGTGGAGGGATCGATAGCGTCCTCGGACTGTAAGGCTTGTCGCGTGACCTGTACAATGGTGGATAGGCAACCAACCACAAGCAGCGCGCTCGGGTACACTTCATTGTATGCTTTTTTATATGCCCAGGGTCCCCGTAAAGCTTTGACCCGTTTACGCCAAGCTGACCGCTCGCAGGTTGGCCACGATCGCGTAAGCGCCCCGTTAACAAGGTCGTCACCTCGCTTGAACTCGCCTCATATGTTCTTGTCCATGTCACCTTGACTGCGCCCTCTCCTCGGCGCATAGCATCCACAGACGTTTCGGCGCTTTGGGTATCTGCTCATCAACCTGTGCCGCTGCGCCATGTACCTGATCTTACTCACCAGACGCATCGCCAACAAGAACAACGCCACTCCCCTGTACGACCGCACTGCGTACGCTACGCGTGCCAGACTACGGCAAAACGTGCTGTATGGCTCCTTTGAAACAACCGAGGTATCACGTATTTCTGGTATGACAGCTGTCGCGCCAGTCGTCTTTGCGGAACTTGAACTGATGCGCCTTCTCAACGTCAACAGGGACCATGGTTCCGCATTGCTATGGTCGACCACGAATGCGACGTTTATGGAGGTGCCGTGCGTCTATGAAACCATAAGGTCAGCAACAATCGCTTGGTAGGTGATAATATGCGATCGGGATTGCTAAGGGCTCACCTGAGGCGGACATCTGTAATTATGTTGTGCCGCTGCTCCTTCTACTGCAGTTTGACCCTACGACACAGCCGCGACCAAGCGGTATTGCGCAGTAACACCTTACACACTATGGCGAGGTCAATCGTGACTGGCGCCTTCGTCACTCGCTATGCTGTGCAGAGGCTTCTCGTAGAGTAGCTGGCACAACACCGTTTGTGGGCAATATACGAACATGTATGCAGCAAAGTTACTCACAACATGACCAGATCCGCCGAGCAACGGGTACCCAAGGCGAGACGACTTAGAATGCATACCATCCTCCTGATGAATGCGGTTATGAGACTAGAACAATGGGTCCGCTGGCACCGACGGCAACCGATGGTCCCCAGCGCAGATGTGACTGGACCGGTTGCCTTTTCTGCACGCTCGTGACAACCCTGCAAAAAATCGACGTATCCCAGCAGGCTTAAAGGTGACGCGTGGAGAGCTTTGCATCCGAACGATGTACCTCGCCCTCGACGTCGACCCAGCTCGACGGCTCCCAGCGAGAGTATCGAGCGCCCGCACTCCTCGGTATGTTGAATCTAGACCAGTGGGAAATCCTGACGAAGGCAACAGACAGAAGCCCCCGATTGCCTACGGCCGTGGATTGGATCGATGGTGCGACCTCTGGGTAAGATGTGTTTGTATCGACCATGGCCAGTAAACAAGCTTCGAACGGTGCCCGCTAGGAGAAGTGTACGTCGTAAATCGCGTCGGAATGCGAGAGCCGGAAGGACGACTCGGAGAAGGTGGGGAGGGTTAACTTCTATGCTGTTGCCGTCATGCTGGGCCTGTTTCACGGAGTGGGCCTGTCGCCTGTGAGCAGTAATTTCAAACTTACTTTCTCGTCAATGCAACTGAGCGGGCTCACCTGTGTTCATACACGAGCAAGTAGACAAGAAGCCATAGTGTTGCGATCACCGTCTGATCATCCGGTCACTCGCAGTTATGGTTGCAGTAGCACTACGGCTTGCGTGGACAATAGGAGCTGGGTTAGAAGTGATGTCGGATTTGAGAGCAGCAGCTCGTAGGGCGAGTGTCGCTGACAGGAGCATATGGTGGATGTGAAGGAGGGCAATTAATTTGAAGGTGGTGAGCAACTCCGACTCGAACGATGTTTGGCTGATTGCCGATTGACGATATAACAAAACTGACGTCGGCCCTTCTCGCTTGTCGTCCTCTCGAACTCCGGCACCCCCGTTCTAAACCTTAATCTGGAAGGGGGTCAGACCCCCCCTTCTAGGTTGAAAAGCATAAACATACCGTCGGTGTTCGAATTCTCGCTCTCTCGTTGGCTCTCACCATCTGTCCCATCACTGCGGTTGCCTCCGACGTCCTGTTATGCATTTACATCACATGTTATAGGTCGTCGCTGCGGTTTAGCGACCCTCGCTATTCTTGCGCCACAGGCGATGTTCGACGTCCGCTCTAGCTTTACCAGCGCCCGTAAATCCTGCGGAAAGGCATCCAGTATTGACGTGTCTCTTATAACAAATCACAGTATATTGAACCACTTGCGGCGTGGCGCTCCACGTCCCGGGAAACGCTTGAATTTGCGACTAGCGAATGTCCGAGCTCTAAACACGCAATGCTAGCAATTTCTGCTACGAACTACTAGGCAGCATTCGGTATTCTACGGCAGAGCTCAGTCCTGGCACAATACCACAGTATCAGTCTGGGTGCAAGCACAATCCACAACGTGCAACGACCATCTACTTGAACCTCAGAGTCACAGACCTGATCAACGGACGTGCACCTAGCAAGACCTAGCACCGATCCGCATTGATGTTTCTCGTCTGGAAGCTGCAATCAACTCAGTTAGAAGGTGAACGTGCCGGATAATTGCGCGAAGGTGCATTTCAGAGCCCAACTACTCTTTGAGTCCTTCGCAAACGGAAAGTAATAATGGAAGTCCACGACCGAAAGCCCATAGATCCCACTTACTTACATATTGATCCATCGCGCAGAGGACCCCTGGCGCGACTGCGGATGGTACAAACAACCGCATTGGCAGCACTTTGGGCGATGGTTGAGTACGATCCGATGCCTTCTGCCATCCAAGTGCAGAGACTGGCAGCTACAAACTAGCCTTTACGGTACCTGGAAATTGTCAACTCGCCGATGCATCGGTGGGCCTGAATTCAGTGGTCGCATCGGGGTGAGCAAATCAGAGCTCAGATACTCCCGCCCCAACACTTCGCCCTTCCTGCTCTCTTCTCATTTGTTCCAGCTTCTGGAACCAGATACACGGGCTACGGGATCCCCTCTCGAAGGCGGTCACCGTTCTTGACCACTGTTCTAATGATCATTCCATTGCCCATGACCATCGAACAGAATACCAGATTGCGCGGAGAAGTACACACCTGTGATATGATCTGGAGCGCCACGACGGTCAGACGGTAACTTAACTTCTTCTGTCTGGCGCATTGCAATCGGTGCAAACGAGGCCCTGTACCGTGGAATGACCTATTAGGTCTGGCTTGAAGGCAGAGCGCCGAGGTCCGCTGTACACCAGCTCACGGAGGCGACGGCCTGCGACTGAGCACTCCTAAGCCAGCGAACAATGAAGTATATGAACGCTTGGGTCCCAGGCATGCTTTGTAATAGAGCCGCAGAAGAGTATGAGTTTATTTCTGTACAAATAATATGCCCACGGTCACAGGTGTCTGATTTTGAAGTTTTCCTATGTTAGGGTCCGAGGTTCTGAGTGTCTTCATGAGTTTGCTTACTCGACTCTGGAAGATACATATTGTCTAAGCCATCTCAGGTGTCTGGGCAATGGTATGGGTTTGGTAATGCTATGGTACGTGCTCGGTACGTCTTTGGTACGGAAGTTGACGCCGGATTCCTATTACGGTAACCCCCAGAGCACCCGAAGACCTACCATATTTAGTAGCACCGATCGATAAGTACAGTGGCCAACGCCTCCTACACCGCCAAATGGCGCCCGCCAGATCGAGACCTGAAGTGATCGGCAGCCATTGGTCTCTCGTTTCAGACCCCGACACCATTTTCGTCAGCTTATCCTTGTCTGACGGCGTAGTACCCAGGAAAGCTTTCGAGACAGCTTGGCATCGGGTAGGAGGAAGATTTCATTAAGCTGGCTCTCCGGCCGAAGCAGGCATGAGTCCTAGTCCGACAAGGTGGTGATGCATAGGAAGTCTGCGACGTTGTAGCATCGGGTGGCATGGGCATTGACCATCATATTATTGTAGCCTTCGAGTCATATTGTGCTAGCTTAACCAAACATTCATGGACTCCGAATCTATCAGTTCCAATGTACTAGTATAGGTAGTCTCATCTCATTCGAAATGTAGCCTCTTCGACACGTAGACAGCGCCTTCATTTAACAGCCGATTCGAACATTCAGCTCTGCGATCCGGTACTCATTCAGGATCGCGGGAATACAAGTGAAGGGACCGCAAGTTTTGGCCACGATGGCATCAATGATTGTCCGTGCCAGACGTAGATGAATAACATCGGGTCCACTAAGCATCCGAGCGCGAGGTCAGTGACTCCCGACAAAATGAAGTATACCTGTATGATACACGTACTGTATATGAATTCAGAAATCGGCGCTGCATCTCGCATGGAACCGTTCAACTGACACCACCCGTCGACGACGCGGGGCCACCTGCACCTGTCGAGACTTGGGCATGCCCTGCTTTCGCGGTCTTGTTGCGCGCGCGAGTCTCGGCCGCCTTCGCTTGCGCATCTGCCCGTTTTTGCGGCCCCGATACTTGAAGTTGACCGGCGATCTCGTGATGTCTCTTCGTACGTTCTCCAACTGGTATGTATGGCTTCGGTGCTGTGAGTTTGCGAGGGAGGGCCTGTCGTATCAAGGCAGCATTATGGAGTGCGTGCATATTCAGAATATACCGATTAGCGTCGCCTACGTGTTCGATCACTTGCCGAACTCGCGCCGTCTCTTGTCGTTCCTGCCGCACAGGGACCGTTCCAGTCGGGGCACAACCACTCGCATGGCAATCATGCTGAGCGTTGAATGCGAACAGAACATCCTGCGAATGAGATTGAATCAGTAGAATTCGAAGTTGAACACTAGTTAGTATTGAAGAAACCTCTGGTGCTATACAGACTCGACGCGTGTTGTGGTCCGTTGGGTCGCAGACAAGAATTGGCATGTTGTAGTATTCGTCGGTTTCATCCAGAATTGTGTATGGCTGAATCAGTATTCTCGCGCAAGCAGGCTGGGCGGCAGACTCGCCCGGCTCCAAGAATACCTCAGAAATACGACCTGCGAATACTGTGTTGCCAGGTTGTTGCTAAAATACAACATCAGTCAATAATTGCGGTGCAAGTAGTGACAGAAAGGAGTTACCTCCGCTTGAGGATGCTGATAGAATACCCAAGAACCACGCTTACAGACGTCCCTCGACCGGGAAATGACATGAACGCATCTCTTGAGGGTCTGGCCTACGTCGCCACCGTGGATTTCTTGCCATTCACTGTTCTCGCCTGATTGTAGGGATTCTGACGGGACTGATTGCTTGTGACGAGCCTCAAGTTTGATTGTGCCTGATAAGCTCGTGCTCAATACTCCCGAATGATAGCACACAACTGCGGTTAACAGTGGACATACCCGGTTGACGGTAGGTTGGGTCAACCCAGCCGAGGCGACGTTGGAGTTCGGGTGTTGACTGAAGGAAAGCACGAACTTGCCCGCTCGCCTGAATCATCTCGCCATTCTCCGCCTTCCACCATCCACCGCTTACGACATGCTTGAACGTCTCCATTTCCGCCAGAGTTCCTGCGATGTCGCGGCTAGGTGCCTGTCGGTTGGAGAGGACACTGCACATGCGGAAGACTGAATTCCAGCACTCGAATATCTCGGTGGAGTACAAGATCGCAGGTCCAAAGCGTGGCACATCGGCGATAAGGTGAGACAGGATATGTAACTTGCTTTTGACGATGATGCGATTCGGGTCGATGAGCGCCCATATGTCGAGGAGGTTTGCGATTAGCAACTGTAAATCCGCCTTCACGCCATCGTTCAAAGTAAAGTTCGTCAGTGGTATGCACTAATTCGAAACATGGTACTAGCCCAGTGAGTACACTTACGACGTATTGGTCCATATCTGATATCTTGTCCATCCATATCAGTGCGCCGAGCTCCCCTGTCGCCTTCCACAATTCAAACATCAATGGCGAGCATAGGTCATGTAAATGGAACACGGCGAGCTGCTGAAGTGTCTTGTAATGCTTGCCAACCAGTGAGTTCTTGTATTGCACCATGTACTGCGCTCGGATTGCGGGGATTGAGAGGCCGTCGATACATGAGGACTCGAGACGCTGGGCGAAGAGTTGCTCTTCTTTCTTGCTCCATGGATGGGATGTATCATGCCAGACGTACTTGTCCTCGCCGACCAGGTATGTGTGCAGAATCTCCGTGGATGTGTCCCGATGGACATCGACTCCAGGTACTCCGAGGAGAGGGTTATAGTGATCACCGCGTCGAACGTCTTTGCGGAGTGCTACGGCCAAAGAAATTATAAATGTGATTTGAAATGCTCACAGTGATTAGGACCTACGAGAATCGACTGGCAGAGCATCATAGCTATGCTGCGGTTGCTGAACTAGCCATTGAAAGGTCTCATGCTGGATCTCTGAGATTATGACTTCCTTCATAGCTTTGCGCTCGTCTCCCTTCAAACTCCGGGCATTGAGACGGGAATCCCGGGTCTCCTTATCGCTAATCCGCTGCTTTCGCTCGGCCTGAGACCTAATAAGCACGACTTCAATCCAGAATTGGGCAATCCGGTCCTTGACACCGGTGGCCGTCTGTAGCTCCTCCACCGCCTCACGTTCTCCGCGACATGCCCTGAACAGCTGTGATTTGACGACCCTTTCTGTTTCGTCAGGTGTGCGTGGTTCTCCGGGCTTCCGCGTGGGCAAACTGTCATGAGGAGACAAGCCGTGGGAGGTAAGTGGTTCACTCACCGTGAACAACGCGTCGTACCCCTCATTGGACTCCTTCTCCTCTGCAGACCCTCCAACCTTGCACCGGCGACAGAAGAAATTCCCTTTGAGGCCAATGTGTGAGCACGTCTCCGATTGCTGAGGATTGTCTGCTGGTTTGATGTGTGGCATAACCCGAAATAGGATGTCTTGCTTAATCGCGCAATCATAGGCTTCAATCCAGTGGTCTGGGCCTCTAAAACAGTGCAATTCAATGTTAGAGCTCGACTGATCAGTACCTGCAATGAATACTAACGCGTCTTTGTACAGGGCGTGAAATTGCTCGGACGAACTTGCGTGCTGCGATGTCGAATGAAACCTAATGAAGAACTCTTGCTGTAGCTTCTCATGCGGGAGATTCAGGTTGGCAAGGTACATGTTCGTGTGGGCGTTGTACTGTTTGCTGACATTACCCGAAACATCGTCGCTCCATGCTGCAGCATACAGCGTGAACACGGGCCGCTCATTCGCAAGCTCGCGCACAGGGTGCCTCTTCACCGCCCAGTCAGGAATGGTGTCTAACGACATTCGCCGCATCCAGGTCAGTGACTTCAAGTTCAAATGTAAACTACAAGCAGATATTACTTACCGTCAAATGCGATCTCACGATTACTGATCGTCGTGATGTCGCGGCAGTTGTACAGCAGTGCAGTTGCTGAGATCCGCTGGATTGCGGGATCATGTAATCCAAACAAGCCGGTCTGCGTGAGGAGGAGTGAGATGCTGATACCCCGGTTCGTGAGTGATTCTTCCATATTTGTGCGCACCGTTTCGGCATAGTAACATAACTCATGGACATCGGCACAGACACGCTCTCTCTCTACAATCCATCGTAAAACCAGTACGTATCGCCCATCTTGCAGTTTAGCCACTTCTCTGATATAGAAGTGGCGATATGGTGCCCGTTCCCAATCAGCCCACATATGCGGAAATAGATCAAGATCTCTTGTTTTCAAGTTGGTTGTCGCTGGCGCCGCCTTTTCGGCCTGCATTATCTCTGAAACCTCGGCTGAAGCTTCAGGATACAGGCGCATATGGGCACGGACGAGTGGATTACTCCAGTCCTGTTCAAGTCAAGTGGCAATTCGGAAGATGGATCAGTATGTGTTCAGGTACTAGATCCCGGAGAGGTATGTCAAGCACTCACCAATCGAAACGTGGATGATGGGCCATTAGCATAGAACTCATTATCTTGGGATGACCTATGGTGCGTCGTTTTCACCCCAAGTTCACGTGTCAATCTATCTTGTGTTGACCGTAAGGCTGTGAAGGCCGGTACATTTGGTGTTCCACATTGTCGCATTACCCAGATGATCACCTTCATGTGATCATCCGAGAGGCGCAACCGCGGCAAGCTATCCAACAGATTTAACATGAACATCTAATCAATGAGCCATGGCCCGGGTGAGTTTCTGTGTCTTTCCGACACGCACAATATCAACTTACGGTCTTTGATTCATATGGAAGCCAGTCATCATCAGCCCCCGATAAGAGGTCAGGTGTTACCTGGATATCATCGATGCTGTGATGTTCGTCGACACCTGCAGCCATTGAAGATTAGTCATTACAGACGGAAATAGGTATGTGATTCCGTGACTTTCCCATTCTCTGCATCTCTGCAATGATGTCCGGAATCGTCAGATCATCATCGACATCATTTCCGTCAACTATATGCAAATGCGGATCTCCGTTGAGCGGTGGGTTTGTTAGCTGATTGATGAGCTTGACTAGGTTAGGATCCCGGGGCATTGTTCCTGCAGAGAACAAGATGCGGTTTCCGTACGAGTCAACGTAACCCAAGCTGTCAGGATAGACGTCCACAAAAGGATCCTCGCCAATTGGTGGTTCGATCACTGTGCCAGGCTGGTCAGGCCCCGTGTCCATCGAGTCGCCATCCAGATCAGCAGGTAGCAATAAAGATGCAGATCCAGCATTGCGTTGCGGAAGGGCATGAAGTTCGGTGCTCGATGCTTGAGTGGCCATGGAACCATTCTGGTGAGCAACAGCAGACTTGTGCTTCTCGCTAGAACGGTGACTCTTGACACTCTTAACCTTGACTTGAACATCTTTGGCGTGGTATTCAGAGCAGGTGCGACACCGAACCATTGTCGGCTGATCGTCAACATCTTCAAGATCTATCATACCTCCAGTCAGTCGTCACATACTCTCACTGATCACCGAATTGTAAGTCATGCTTGCCATCTCCATAGAATTGGTCTGATCTAGGTCTTCCGCTGCGAGTCATGCTGGAGAATCTCCCAGTTGTTCTTCAAGCTCGAGTCCCAGTTTCAGTGTGTCAATGTGCGAGCGGCCTTGTGGACCCACACGCCAACACACACGTGATGCCGGTCGACTTTTGACATGGAGACGGTTGCATTGTGAAGTGCGTTCGTCTTTCTTTCATCTCTCATCTCTCGTCATTATTTCTTCATCTTTTGACAAGCCTTTCGTGCTCGCTCGCAGTTCTCGGCACTTGTTCCAATGTCTGGCCTTGACAATGATCAAAACTCCCTTGCAGGAACTCCACCGTCATCGCCTTCTTCCCACAGTGCGCCATTGCCACCAGGCTTGCCTCATGGGTCTGACTTGGGCCCGAGACAGCAGCAATCTTCTGAACCTGGCGTAGGCCCTGATTTTGCTGGTACTCAAGATTCAGATGCTGCGGGAACCGACGATGCAGAGGCAGTGCCCACAACCAGTCAAAAGCGCCGGGCTCCTGACTCGGAGTCAGACGGTGACATGTCACAGTACACCGGCCAGGTTTCCCGGCACTTCAAGTTGAAGAGGACTGATGCGGATGAGCTCACGGCACTTGGAAAGGTATGTGTCTCGATTCTGAGTCATCATTCACACATTGCAACTGAGTGATCCTATTGCAGCGGTCGATCCGCAAGATTCTTCTCTACAATACAGGACAAGGAATGAAGACTCGAGAGCGTCTGGACGCGATTCAGCCTGCCAATGCTGTGTGGGAAATTCCGAAGAGACTCTGGGTAAGACACATTTTCTATCTGCTATTTCATCTTTGGTGCCTACGATATTCGTCATCACCCACAGTCGGAAATCGAGTATTACACGTACGCCGTCCTCTGTTCCCCTGTTCTTCCCACGTATGTCAGTGGTTCATACCCTGTTGGCGTCGTTCTGGTACGTGGCAATGCTCCGATACAAATTGACTCGGAATACATAGTACTAACTGCTTACACAATATAGAAAATTGTGTCGGCGAACCCGGGCTGGGGCTACACTCCCGAGGTGAAGAATGACAAACAGAAGCAGGAGATCGTTGCAGAACGAGTGCGAACCCGGCTCACAGACCGTCGTTCTGCAATTAAGACTGCGGTGAGTGCGCAGTTACTCCGACTTGGATAGGCAGTAGTCGTCCGACATTCACAACTGAATCACTGATGATGTTTTGTGATAGATTCTGCTCTCAATAGGCCCAGAGAAGCTGACTGAGCTCGACGCTATGCACCTCACAAAGCCGAAGAATGCGAAAACGCAGCCAACCCCGCCAGTGAAGTTGAACATACTTCAATTGGCAGCCGAAGTCTCTGGTCTACACAGGTCTGCCCCTGCGAAGCTCACTCTCGAACTCTGCGCACGCATTGCGTACTTGGTATGTATTTCCTCGGGTCGTCACTGTTAGTTTCTTGTGTGACACGATTCACAGCGCCGCAGGCTCGAGAAGATGCTTCAAGACAAGCCGAAGAACACGGATCAGTACTGGAAGATCGTCGACAAGAAGCTTGTCGAACTGCGTAAGGGAAGCGCGGTCGAAGTGTCCAGGTACGTCCATTTGTACTATGTACTGTAGTCCGGACAAGGTTTGACGGTGATCTAGGATGATACAGCGGGGTCTTCGCGAGGATCAAGATATGTATGGGACAGTGGACGCGAACGAGTACGAAGAAGCAGCGAGCGGCGACAACGACATTGTCAACATCGCTGCCGCAGGCAAATCACTTCCGAGCAGTGCTATGTTCTTGGCAAGCTAATTGCGAGGCTGCGCGTACTGTGACTGGTATCATCGCCATCGCACTGGGGCAATTATGGATACTTACTACTAATTCTCTCCCCTCCTTTGCTCGTTCTCCAAGTTGTAATGTAATGAACCTCTTTTAATACGGCCACTCTAGTTCGCTTTACTGTACATCGTCACTACTGGTACCAAATTGGATGCAATCAATGATATGTCGTCTTTCTGCATTATGATCGCGTCGGAACAGTCTCGCATTGGTGTACGTCAGGTATAATATAGATGCACTCCCTGTGGCTATCCAATTGCTGTTCGTCATCTGTCCAGTTGCTTGACATTGTGTCTGCGCCAGACGATGACGACACTTCTTGTATGGTTGTCGAGACCTGCTTCAAATGCGAGCAAAATATATAATGGCGGCCTTACATCAAAGCTCTCGTCAAGGGCTTCGTAGCTCTGGGAGTCGCCTGACGCTCTCAGCTTAGCGTCAGAGTCGCATTACGAGGCACCCTCAAATGGTCGATTTGCCC